TAGATAGATAGATAGAGAGAGAGAGAGAGAGAGAGAGAGAGAGAGAGAGAGAGAGAGAGAGAGAGAGAGACGGGGGTAAAGGATTTATAAATCGTAACGTGTTGGGAAAAAGTGTCTCAGGCCCGCTATAGTCTTACAACTGTGTGGATAACAACACGTACCCGGTATGTGCAGGTCCCACTACGACGTAATCCTAATGTAAACCTTTTCTGAGGTGGAAAAAAGAAAGCTACTGAAAGTTCAGTGACATTTAACGACCTCATTCCAGTTAACTAGGGCGACTTAATATTGACATAGAGGTCAAAGTGTATAGAACCTTAGTCCTTTTCCGTCGTTTCTCCTTCATATTTTGAAACACAGAAGATTTAGGCGCAAACGATACTGAAAACTGACGATGAATAAGTTACGAACAAAGAGGTGGCCTGAACAAAGACACTGAGAGTCAGGTGTTACAGTTACATACACACATGTGACGGAAAAACAGATAGACAGCTGACCAGAGCGGCTAGATAAGGATGAGGCTTTTAGGAATGTTACGTTAGATAATTTTGTAAACGGTACAATGATACTATCTATTTTTAAATATCATACACCTAATATACATACATACATAATATATAATACATGACAAAACCTACATAATAAAGAGAGAGAGAGAGAGAGAGAGAGAGAGAGAGAGAGAGAGAGAGAGAGAGAGTACATTAGTCAAAGAAACGCATTGACGACGGGCTCTCTTAAGGGATTTTGTCACGCGCTCTTGCTTTTCGACTGGGCGGGTTCTATTTGATTTGAAAAGGACCCTCAAAGTGTCAATATCGAGACTGTGTACTTAAATCATTGACGATAATGTGTGGTATTTCGTGCAGAAACCAAATTGAATTTGAATTCACATCGTGCTTTCGCTTTCGAAGTTAAGAGCAGGGAAAACTGTCCTCGGAATCAATAAAATTTTTAAAAAAGAAAACTCCAAACTCTCCCAACTTGAAAAAGGGTGAAATGGTATTAAGTAGGATTTGACCTACCTATCAACACTATTTGCTTATTTAAGAGGTAGGACCTCCGAGTTTAACATCCATCTCAGAAAGGACCGAACCAAATGGGGAATTCGTGTAAAGTGCGCTTCCCAATGACAAAACGTCGGACCGAGCTGAGGCTCGAGCCCCCTAAACTCGCAACATCACGATTACGAGTCTGGTTGCCTAACAACTGCTTTCTACGCCACTGTGCTAATTTCTAATTAATTTTCTGTAAGGACCTCTTAAAATCATCATCATCATCGTCAACTACAACAGCAACACAAACCATCATCAATAACTACGACAAGAATAATAACACCTCGATTGTCGTCACCACCATAGTGTTTTTTATACATGATAACAAAACATGTCGCGCCTAATATTCGCTCACAAACAAAAACACCCACACCTAAGCAGGGTCACTAAATTTCTGTGTTGCTTCGTCTTCGTCTTCATCGTCGTTGTTCTTGTTTTGATGGTGTTCTGTTATTGTAACTATTGTTTCGCTGTTGCCCTTGGTTCGAAACTGAGATATGGTCATTATGCCTGTGTTTGATACGTTCCTCTTTAATAAGTGCAGTGGCGCTCAGCACTCTTGAGCTGTTTGATCTAATATTTGATAATACCGTGCTATTCTTAGTGATATAAAACTTGAACATCTCTGTTATAGGAGAGAAGGCTAGTTTAGTTTATTGTTTTACTGTTGCCGCTCAGTTAGTGCCTGCTGGCAAACGACACTCTCTCTTTCAAAAGCGACAATTGAATAAAACGATACGTTAATCGAGGGGACTTCTGAGAGTCAGAGGAAAGTAAGCAAGAAAACACCGTAAAGCTGAAGGATTGTGTTTATTACGGGTACGGCTTGCCGGTCGCAGTATTTGCAATGTAATATTACTCCTTGGAATTCAACGCCACATAATGTTATTACTCTATCTAAACTCAACGATCCGTGGACGGGACAAGCTCATGGCAGAGTGAAAATGAATAGATAGACGAATTCGAATAGACAGATAGACAGACAGATAGATAGATAGATAGATAGATAGATAGATAGATAGATAGATAGATAGATAGATAACAGTGGTATGCAATTTCTTTTGATTGTATTCATGTTCTGTAGATATATACTCCAAAGATGTACTGACAGCTGAACTGCCATCAATTAGTCGCAACTATAGGGGCTGCCGAAAGCAATAACATGATGGTCTAAAACATGAAGGCAGCTTGTTTCTGTATGTTTTATGAAGTGCAAGTAGGTGAAAGCGAACTGTTAATTTCTTCCAATGATAGATCCAATTCTATCTTACCTTTACTAGGCAGACTAGTATGAAAGTGCAGTGGTTTTAATGGTGGGCATTAATTAAGGATGGGAACGTAGATTAGCATAGGAGAAAAACTGTTTGCGTCACCATTGTTTCAGCTCGACTGTTTCTAATAAATGTTCTGTTCTATAACCCGTTCAGGGTATAGATACGATTTAAATGTCCATTAATTTATGGGTTTTTAACTTCCAAATCAAGTGCTCGTTTGCCGAAATGAATGTCAAAGTCGAAAACAATTTATTCATCACCAACCCTACCAACAACAAAGCTAACATAACAACCACCATCATCAGCATAGCAGTACCACCACAAACACCAACATCCACAACAATAAAAACAACACCAACAACAATAACTACATTAACAGCAGCAGCCACAACAACAACAGCAACAACAACAACAGCAGTATCAGCAACAGCACAGCTATCAGCAGCAGCACCATCATTAACGTTAGCAACATCACCAGCACTGACAGCAGCAACAAAGATAGCACAGCACCAGCACCAGCACTACGACCACTATCATAACAATAGCAAGATCATCACCACCACCATCGACAATATCAACAAACAGCACACCCAACAATAGCAGAAGTAAGAAACAACAATAAAAACATTTACGACGACAGCAACAACAACAACAATAACAAAAGGACCAGCAACAGAACATCCAGCAATAGCAGAAAAAAACAAAAAGTACAATCATTAATGACAACGACAACATCAACAACATCAACAACAACAACAGGACCAGCAACCGAACACCGAACAGCAGCGGCAGTAACAAACAATAATAACATTAAGGGCAACAACAACAACAACAACAACAACAACAACAGCAACAACAACAACATACCCAGTAGCAGCAGCAGCAGCAGCAGTAACAAAAAACAATAAACGACTACAACGAAACAAGGGTGGAGTTCCGCAGAGGGCCGGCACTTACCTTGACAAGGTCCACGTGAGCAAACTATACAAGAGTAATAGTTGGGGTTTGGGTTTGAGTTAAGGTTGAGGTTGGGGTTAGAGGGTATGCCCGCTCATCGCCCCAGATATAATATCCCCTCTTTTGTGTGTTTATGGTCGGCCGGCCCTCTGCGGAACTCGCTTCCCGAAACAACAGTAACAACATTACCGACCACAACGAAACAACAATAACAACATAAACGACCACAACAAAACAGGCTCCAACCTGCAGCAATACGTCCTTGCCCTGGGTCCTCTCTGATGGCATCCAACTCTCTGCACTGATCGATACACGCGATCGGCCCGTCCAAAGCGGAATGCACTCACCACACACACTCAATACCACCACCTCCACCACAGCCACACATTGCCGGCACACACACACACTCACACTCAAACACGCACACACACACACCCGCACACACAAACACACGCAACATACGGGCCGCACGCGGTGGGCCAAGCCAACTGGGTGTGCGTTGTTGACCGAATACACGTTTTCACTCTCCAGCAGGGCTGTCAGCGCAATTATACTGGCCTTATTTTTTTTATCTCCCCGCAGGTTGAAGACTCGCTAATTGTATTAAGTGTTCTGTATAATTGTGTGGCGAGCTGCGAAAACCGTTCGGAAGTCGCTGTGCTTACTTTAGAGCTAGGCCGTCTCAAAGGTCATTTTGGGCTTTCCTATGAAAATTGAGATTTTTGCACCAATTTGTTATTCAACATCTTAACTTTCATCTCTAGAAATATTAAACAATACTTTGGGATGGAAATATGTCAATTTTAATTGTTTTCAGCATCACCCCCAACCGATATGATTAGCAAACACGGCTGATGGTGCTGAAGAGGACTCCGAAAATCCATCTCTTTTTGACCGACTTTTCCGAAAAGTATTTTGAGACAACCCCTACATATCATACATCGTTGGAAAGCTCAGTCT